GGCTGCCTGCTGTGGGCTTGGGGCCAGGAGCTGTGCTGGCCTCTTCCTGCTGGGGGGGCTGGGCTGGGGCTATGCTCAGGATATGTGGGGGCGGGGGTGTGGTGGGTGGTGGTGGCGATGGGAGGAGTGGCCACAGGGAATTTTGGGTGACTATAGCCCACCCCATAACCACTCCTCTCCGTGCCGCCATTGCATGCTCAGAGCCCAGCCCTGGCTCAGTCCCCTTGCCGGGAACAGGCTGGCACAGCCCGTGGCCACAAACCTGCAGCAGGCAGCCCACGCTCGCCCTGCACACAAATCCAGTGGGTGGGGCCACATGCCCCCTGATGCTTCCCCAGGGATGTGTCCAGTGGTGGAGAGTAGCGTCCACTCCAAGCCCCCTCGTGCTCCTGACAAGCTGGCCACAGCCCTGTCCTGGCCCACAGGTCACCTTCACTGCCCTGGCTGGGTAGCTCCTACCCCTGCCCCTGCCCCACTCCCTCCCTCACCGTGGGGGCCTCCATCTCCCCCACCCATGCCCTTTCCCTTCCCCCACCCTTTCACCCCACCACAGACATACCGGCTGGACACTGCTCTCCAAGCTGCCCAGCTGCATTCCTGGCCATGTGTATGCTGTGGATGCGTATGTGCACGCAACATTTATCAGTGACATTATAGTCTATGCTGGCCAAAAAAAGCTGATTGCTGATAATGTTAATTTTCCTTTTTTCAGTACCAATCCGATATGCAACTGATACATTGGTGTATCTCTATTTCTACCATTCTTGGGACTGCTTTAGGAGTAAGGTATCATGCAGATTGAGTAAGAGGGGCAAAATTTGGCCCCAGTTTGGAGGCTGGAGGAAAGGAATCTGTAATGGATGCACATGATATCCTAAAGTTGTAATTATCTATGAATTTTATGAAGAAAGCTAGCAGCCACGTTTAGAAATTTCTACTCTAGGACTACAGACCTATAATTCAGAATTGAGCCTAGGTCAGTGCAAGCTTTGTGACTTCTGTGCCCTCTATAGGAAAGCACGACAGAGTGTCTATCACAGGACATAACAAGACAAGATACGCAACCATGTGCCTCTCATGTCCTAGCAGTGTGATTATCTCCTGATAACTACATGCCTGGAACACTCTTATGGGTTCAATAAACAGTTTTTTATTTTGTTAAGCGAAAGGATAGATTCAGCAGTTTCATGCTGATCAGCACTCCCAGATAAAACATATACTTCACAAGGATTATAAAACTTCAGTGATTGAGGAAGAATGCTGATACATATAACAGGTAAATTAATCTTGGTTAACCACCAGTCCCAGGGCAGAGGAGAGTGGTTAATTATAGCAAAAAGCCCAAAATATCTTCCAAAGTATTGCTTCAAACAGTGAGTAAGAGGCAGCATGGATACTAACAAACCCTAAACAAATAATTAGTTGTTGTCACAGATCAATGCAAACATGCTGAACAACAGTGCTGACATTGTTACAAACAGCCACAAAGGACTGAACCAGTACAGCTGCCTCGTGCCCCTATGGAAATTAAGACTGGATGGAATTTATTGAAACCCCTAATCTTAGCAACTAGCTAGAGAAAGCACAGGGAGATGTTTCAGAAAGTATAAAAATTCAAATGTGTGCATGTGCACTGGTGAACATATTTTAATCTCACTTTTCACAAAAACGTTAGGATATTGGCGGACAGAAGAAAACTTGGGAGCCCATCTGCTTCATTGTCTTTGATGAGACTACAATAATTTTCATTCCCAATGACAAGACTGAGTCATGGCATTAGAACTCCAAAGTTTTTTTCACTGAATTTAATGCTCTCTGTAACAGGGCCTACTCTTTTAAGCCCTCATACTTCTAGATTAGAAAAACCAAACATGCCTGGTGGAGTGAAGAACATTTCCAATTCATTGTTTAAACCTAAGGGCCACATTTTCTCCTTTTAAATCCCTTTCCACGTCACGCAGAGGTGTGAGTTAAAGTATCATCTTTACTTGAAGAACTTTACTGCTGGTAGCAGGGTGATACCAGATCAATTTCCATATACCTCTTGTTCCTTAGCTTTTGAAGAAAACTGATTTTTCTCCACGAGAAAGTCTGCCTTCACCATTGTCATTTTCAGAATTGCTGTCGCAGCTTTCTTACATTCCCTTCATTTCAGTCTATACTTTAGCTGCATCAGATATGTATGTGGATGGAAAAATCTTTCAGTTACAGGTATTCCTATGGCCTCAGTCCTATATTATTAAACCACTTTAGGATTAGAGTCTCATAGAATCCCTGTGCGGAAGGCAGTGCTATGCATCATAAAGATTTTAGGCACAAAGAGACCAAGCGACTTGTCTAAGATTATGCAGGAAGCTTGCAGTAGAGGAAGAAATTGAACCTGGGTCATTAGCCAGCTCTAGAACCATTAGACTGTCCTTTTCTTTTCTCAGTCTGTCTGTTGTTGCTCTTCTCATTTATTTGTTGTCAAATGTACTTGGTTGATGTTTAATAAATTGTTTAAAAAGCTGCCTTCTTTTTGTTTTTAAATTGTAGGAACCAAATATTTTAAGCCCAGTACAGGATGGGACCAAAAAACCACAGATTGACAGCAATAAGAGTAATAATTACAACATTGTTAAGGAGGTTGGTATATGTACAAGTATATTGCACATGCTGGTGCAAGGCATTAATATTTGTTGCTAGAACATGTAATCTCCTTTATCACATTTTGTTTTGGGGGGTTTTTTTTTTTTTTTTTTAGATTTTGATTCGACTCAGCAAACTTTGTGTCCAGAATAAAAAATGTCGAATTCAGCAGCAGCGGTTGTTGAAAAATATGGGAGCCCACTCAGTCGTACTGGACCTTCTCCAGATACCCTATGAACAGGTTATACTGAAAATTACTTTACTGGGAAGGGGAGGAATGCACAAAGTAAACAGTTATAAAAGGGTCTGACCCACAGACAGATTTTTATAGTCTTAAATGAGCTACAAAGCAGACTCCAAGTGATTATGCAATTTTCTTATTTAAGAATAGTAAATCTTGAACAATTTTTAAATCTGACTGTCTAAATAAAGAATAAAAACAGCATTTATCTTCACAGGTGCTCAAAAAAGCTGTGATATTTTCCCATATTCAGAATAAGCAGTTTAGTCACTGCAAGCTAGAAATCATTGACCTAATGGATCCTCCAGCAGGATGTCCAGCACTCTCAGGGGAGTGCTCTGTTTGGTACTTTAGAGACATAACGGGCATATCTGTATCTATGACTCAAGCCTTATAAAGCCTCTATCTTGGCAAAGCTGTTATTGTCTCTAGTGGCTGTTTTAGAATTGAAGTGGCCCAGATTTACTCATCTGAGCATCCAAATGAATGGATTTGTTGTCTTTAGCTAGAACCAGCTCGGTCAAATTAGATAGATCTTGCACTGGTACTGAAAAGAGATGGAACCCGTTTATGGTCTTCTTTTATATTTTCCTGTGTCTGACACTTTAATGTTGTGATTTTGACACTTGGTTCAGTTCTCCTCAGGGCAATAGTGAGTTGTTCATAGAGCAGACTTACCACATTCTTGTTAATGTATTATGCTACAAGTTTGGAAAATGGGTGCTGAAAGCTAGGCAAGAAAATACATATTTAACTACAAAAGTGGCTTGATTTGCAGACGTGCTGAACAGTCATTGGAATGAATAGAATAGGACCAATTTTTGAAAACCAGGCCACTTGTTTAGGATCTGAAGTAAGGAATTAATAGATTAACAGTGAGCACACACTGGAAGATCTTGTCCTTAGCTTTATCATCTTTAATATAGTTATTATAAAGCAGCGGTTCCCAACCCCAGGTCACGACCCAAATGAGGGTTCCAGGGACAATGCCAGTGGTGCCGCACAGAAAAGATGAGCCACGTCATGTGCTGGGAGCTCCTCCGCCCCCCACTGCTGCTGCCACTGCTGCCCTCTGCTCCTAGCAGCGGGTCTCAGAAAAAAAAGTTGGGACCCACTGTTATAAAGTCTACTGAACGAGCCAAAATAAAGTTAGGCTGCACACAGATGTCACCTTTATGCTGGCATAAACATTTTTATGGTGGCACAAAACTGAAGAGAGCAGTTGTCTTAGCCCTTTGTTGTACCACAAATGCCCAAATTTGTGTGAGCATGATAATTCCTAGTCATAGTTCATGCCACCTTTCTGCAGCTGACATCTGTTTGCTTATGGTGGGAGAATATGGGCTGTGCAGGACTGTGTGTGATCTCTCCACCATGGGGAGAGGCTGCCAGGGCTTCAGGAGGCTGATCCTGTGCTCCCTGGGAATCCCCCTGCAGCAGAATTCCTAGGGTATGTGTCTGCAAACTCAGATGGAGGGAACCTCTTGCAGGAGATTCCCACCATGCATGTATTTGGGGCATACATCTTCAAGTGGGAGAACCCCTATGGGGGTTCCCCTGCTTGCAGACCTACACCCCTAGTTGGGGTGTGACACCCATGGTCATTGTCCTGCAGTATTGGGCCCCTGAAGCTCCAGGCATGGTAGGGGCCCAGTAAAGTGGGGCAACAGCCCCAGTGATATCTGTAGATACTGATTAAATGAATTGGCTGTTCTGGGACACATCCCAGCTGAGCTGATCCCGTTTCAAAGACAACATCTATTTATACCTGCAGTTCACCTCAAAACACAGAAAAGGGTCACAGTATATTTGAGCTGAACCTGGTGGTCTTATTAGTCCAGGTCATGAGCACCCTGGGCTAAAGAAGGTCAAGATGGGGAGTAGTGGGAAATGCAATGTCTGTTGTGATTTCTTAGTGACTCCCTGAATTCAGCAAAGGTGGTGCCATTGGTGGGCTCTGGAAGAAACTGGTCAGCCATTCTTGCTGAAGGGAAAGTATCTACTTTTTAAGACTCAGGAAGCTGGAGGACAATTAGTTCATTAATTGCCATGTCTTTTAGCAAGTATGTTTGTCTCATCTGATGCATTTGACTTTTTTCATCTGTAGACTGATGAGAAGATGAACGAAATTATGAACCTAGCTCACATTTTTCTGCAGAATTTCTGTCGAGGAAATCCTCAGAATCAGGTTCTTCTCCACAAAAACCTCAATTTGTTCCTAACACCTGGAGTAAGTATTTCATTGCACAATAACTTACAATTGAAAATAGATTAACCTGAATTTTACTTGCTGGCATTCGTAAAGCCAAATATAGCAATAGAGAAATGATTTCTTTTGTTTCTTCTCCATTAGTTTTACCTTCCCTCTCTCTTCTTTCTTTCTCTTTTGTTTCTTTTTTCATTGTTTTAAAGAGACCAAATTCTAAATTGGAAAGGAACCGTGCAACTATAGTTTTCTGTAAGCTGCCTGAAAAAGGTCCAATGTTTTATTTTCGTGACATTATATCACATGTGGTTGGATTCTGATCTTACTGACACTACTGTAATTCTAGTGAAGTCAGTGGAGCTACTACACTCATATACAACCCCTCTGAGATCGAATTCAAGCCTGCAGCCTTTAACTAGTGATATTTTCTCTCTTTCTACCTAAAACTTGATCTTCCTTTTTATTTTCCTGCTAAATCACTTTCACGTACTGGTCTCTTTCCTGAAGTTCCCTAACTTTTTGATTTGTTTCATTGTTTTTATTGGTGAATGATGTATTGTTGTTATACAAAATTACAGTCTTTCCAGCTTGCTGGATGGGAGACCTGTTGAGCAGAGTGCCCTTGTGTTAGAAATAATATAAGAGTGTTAGAAGCACTGTGAATACAATGGCCTGAGTATTTCCCACCACCATGACCTTTTAAAATTTTTGTGTGAACTTCATGCTGTTGAAGGGTGCTGGGCTGAGAGTCCTGGAGACCAAGGACCTGATTCTCATTGATGTTAAACACCCTTAGCCAGCATATGGGTCTTCAAGTGGGCATTAATTTAATATTTTTTGGTGTGTGGTAGATGGTCCTGGTTTGGAGTCAAGGATGATTGGGGTTTCTATGGGCGGACTTCAGTGAGCTAAGGAGAATAGTCGGGGAGGCACTGAGGTCCTGGAGGGGAGGGGAGTTGGGTGTCCAAGAAGAGTGGTTGCTTCTTAAGGAGATGATCCTCCAAGCCCAAAGGGAGGTAATCCCAACACAGATCAAAGGGGACAGGAGGGCGCAAAAACCCCCATGGCTCACCAGAAGTATCCGGGAACATCTCCTAGCCAAAAGAGAGGCGTACACCCAATGGAAGGGAGGGGCCATCACCAGGGAGGACTATACTGCAGTTGCTCAGGGCTGCAGGGGGGTGGTCAGGAAGGCCAAGGCGGAGATGGAACTGGGACTAGCTACACAGATCAAGGACAACAAGAAGTCCTTTTTTAAATACATAGGGGGTAAAAAGAAGGTACTGGGTAACGTGGGGCCTCTGCAGGACACACTAGGAAATCTGGTCGTCACACCAGACAGCAAAGC